CATTGTTGGAAAATAAATTAATGTCCCTGTTCATGAGTAAGAGACTAACCTTACACTGGTCAGTGGGGACTGTGTCTCTTGTTGACAGACCAATCATCCTTGACAACAATAAAAAAGCTGAAATGCATCTCATCCTGGCATCCATGCCCATCTCTCAGAACACCCTGAGTCTACTCACTATAAAATGGACTGTTGCCCTAGGACATAGAGCAAAAGATGACACTAATTGCAAATTGGCATCCTGGAAAACATTGTCAGAGTCATCTCCTCCAGGAAGACAACCAATATATTGTACCAGCACTGAACCGTAGGCCCCAAGGACCTGCCTGTGTCTGCTCACACGTGTTCCAACGTGTATGCCAATAAATGGAGGGTCAGGAGGAAATTAGACACACAGAGAAGCCACCAGAAGCCAGAGGGCCCTTTGAAAGTCTTTTGGAATTGTAATAGATTGAACAGGTAGGGGATGGCCTATGTAGGTGTATTTGGCTGTGGTCATGAGCATTGAGAATCCCATATTAATATCAATAATTAATCTGAACAAACTGAACTGTGAAAGAAAAAAAGATTTTTATGGAACCAGAAATAGACACTATGAAAGAGACAGAGGATTTAAGTAACCAATATGTTTTTAAAAATATAACAGCCTTTTCTTTTTAAATCAGATGTGATATACAAATATGGAGGTTGAAATATGCGTATGTGTTTGCATTGGTATTACTAGATTTATACCCACTAGTATCTTCTGCCATCTCATGAATTTGGGCAGATTGTAAGTCAAATCATGTCCCAAGAAACATAAATTATGCACACATATAAAATGGAAAGCATCACAATTAGCATAAAAGAGGATGTTAATTCTGTTAAGCACCAGTAATATAAAGTGATTACACTTTGTGATCACACTTTTCTTATTTTATCTCCCTACCTTATTCTCATAAAGAGTTCCCAAAACTTTTAATTTTATGGCTCCATAAGATGCAGAAGTGAGAAACAGATATAGATGACTGTTGTGTAGACAGCAGAGATGCTGCTTGTTTTTAACCATGGTATGTTAATTCCCTTTCCTACTATTTAATCAGTTCAACAAATGTTTAGCTTCAGAGACTGTGTGCTGAGAATGTGCGATACAAAGTATGTAGGCCACTGTTAGCTGTTTATCAGATTAGTGTACCATTCTTCAGCCAAGGGTCTTGCTCTGTTTTCACCACCTCATCATTACACCTCCTAATTTGTTCTTGGCATTACATTTCGTAATGTTTCAAAAATGCAAATTCTATTATGTTACTTGCATGAATCAAACTCTTTAGTGGTTATCAGCTGGTCTCAGGATACAGTGCTAGCTCCTTGGCAGAGCACCTGAGATTCTTGTGAGGGGGCTTTATCTTGCTCTCTGTTCTCACCTTGGGCCATACTCATCATCCCTCTGATTTGACGTCACAGTCAAACATAACTACTTGCAATTACCTGAAAGCATCATGTGGTTTCTTATCTCTAGGTCTTTGCAAAAGATATCACCCCAACCTGGGTTGCCTTCTGCCTCTCTTTGTGTGGTTAATGCTACTAATCTTTTCTGTCTCAACCGAGATGCCATTTCCTTTGGGAAGTCTTCTATTACTTTCTTCCTACATTGCTGCAGCTTACATTGGCTTAATCAAGTACTATCTCTTGCTAAGTAAAATGATTTATTTCACAATTCACTAGAACATTTATCATACCTTTATATCTTTCTGAGTTAGTCAACCCTTAAATTAAAATATAATAAATCTATGCTCCTCTCCTTATTTGTTTTGTCAGTGTTTGTGCATGCACCGCCAATATTTTATTATAGCTTTGTGTAGATCATCGTATTTATTTAGCACTTACTTTAGGCAAGAACGGCTTTTCATATTTAGCACTTACTTTAGGCAAGAACGGCTTTTCATCATCATCATCATTTAATCTTTAAAACAATTCTTAAAAGTAGGTATTATTACTTTCATGGCATTTTCAGCTACAATTAATTAATTGTCCCAGTGTTATAGAAATGGCAGAACTAAGATTTAAACCCTGACCTGTAAGCCATCAGAGCCTACGTTCTCATGATACAGTATTATAAGTTTCTTCTTTTCTCTCTCACAATTTAAACTTTTTGAGGTAAGGAATAATGTCTTGATCATAGTGATGTCTCTCATCAAGTAGCACATTTTGAGAACAGAGAATGATTGAAAATAAAGTTCTTTGCACTTGTCCTTAAGTTGCTAATGGAACTAGAGGGCAGACACCTAAAATAATAATTTGCTGTAATGAGATAAATATATTATTATAGGGAGTTACAGGGCCCTATGGTATGAAGAAGAGGGATACATAGCCCAGGCTTCAACTGCCTGCCTTCGTAGAAGAGACAATGCCTGAACTGAATCTGAATGCACTAACTAATTAGACACATGTTCACTGAATTTGTATCTAGTAGCAATTCGGGTAATATAATCTTCTTCATGAAAAAAATTAAGGATAAACTTCAGTTATATTTTTGAAACACTTGGAAGGTGACAGATGGAGTATGGAGCTATTGCTCATGTTTTTGAAAAAAATGTTTCATAAGCTGATATAACATTGTCAAGTTATTGTTAAAAATGGCAACATGTTTTTATCAAGGGCTAGATTTTCTTTAGATTTTTTGTTTTGGCATTTTTTATTTCACAAATGATCACTGGGATATGGTTGAATAAAAACTTCAACTCTTTGAGTATTATGAATGAGAAAAACATCCTGAGTATTTTTTAATAGTACAGAAAAGCACTATCATTTTCATAACATCCAGACTCAAGTTCTATTAAACCCACAATTTTGTCTGTTTAGGAGAAATCTGTATGGCCTCTTATTCTCATTCTTCTCATCTTTACAAACAGGAGGTTGATTTGAAAACAGGAGGTTGACTCAGCTTTAGTTTTCTCTGGTCCTCAGTTTTGTTAATAATATGCTTTGAGAACTTAGTAAAATGTCTGCTACTTTAATAAATGAAAATAATCATATTCTGAATAAGAAAAGTTTTGTAGGTCAAGTGTTTACAACTTTTGGCTAAGTTCTGAGGACGTGTAATCTGAATTCAATTGAGCTTCTGGGATGGGCATCGTCAAAATACCCAGTTTTTTTTTTTCTTTTTTTAATTATACTTTAAGTTGTGGGACACATGTGCAGAATATGCAGGTTTGTTACATAAGTATACCTGTGCCATGGTGGTTTGCTGCACCCATCAACCTGTCATCTACCTTAGGTATTTCTCCTAATGCTGTCTTTCCCTTTGCCCCCCGCCCCGACAGGCCTCAGTGTGTGGCGTTCCCCTCCCTGTGCCTATTTGTTCTCATTGTTCAACTCCCACTTATGAGTGAGAACATGTGGTGTTTCTTGCTAGACTGGTGAAATTCAAATTAACAAAAATTTAGTTAACAGCTAAATACCCTAATCAACTGGTTTCAATGTATTTCTGGTTTTCTGTTCCTGTGTTAGTATGCTGAGAATGATGGTCTTCAGCTTCATCTTTGTCCCTGCAAAGGACATGAACTCATTCTTTTTTTATGGCTGCATAG